TATATTACAGTATAGTATAGTATAGTATAGTATAGTATAGTATAGTATAGTATAGTATAGTATAGTATAGTATAGTACGGTATGGGATAATATAGCATTCTGTGGGTGAAGGGTGGTGTAGTTTTTCTTTCAGTGCACATGTCAGGAGTCACATAAACATTTAGGGGTGGTCCTAAGTGTAAAAAGTGAATCCTATTTGGATGCCGAGACCCTGCAAAGTCAGAAAAAATATTCCCTGGATAGGACGGTAAAGCTATAGTTCCCCTAAAGAATCACGATAGCGTTATTAGCGTGTCTGCAGACGGGAGCGCAGAGGCGGAAAAAGAAGGCAAAAGCAGACGCGGAATGAAGAAAAGCTCCAGCTCTGTGGTGAGCAGAGAGAGGCCAGAGCTGGAGCCAGAGCCTCTACGCTGAGCGGCCCCTCTCCATGTAAGGCTCTGTTCAGCTGCAGGCCCGCCGTATCTCCCACTGTCACATTCTGCCCGTCGCCATGGTTTTACTGTTTCCTGCCTGGCTGGGACTAGAGATGAAGGCAGATGCTGGCGTGGGCTGAGCTTAGCCAGGGGCCGAAGACCCGGCCGGCCGCTGAACGCAGACCCGGGTCCGCTTCTGCTGGTCAAACATTTGCACGTTAAACTCAGCTGCTTGTTTTGCGTTTTGCTGTGTCTTTTGGGGGGGGTTTTGTTTGAACCATGTCTGAAGACGAGTAAAACAAAAGACCTCAGACAGCCTCCCTGCAAATGGAGAATCTTCCGAAACTCTGAGGGAGGGATGAGAGCAGCGTGAGGCCGAACCCTGTTAAACAAAGCAGAAGCGACACCTTGTTGATGTCCGTGGACGAGTGGACGAGTGGACGGGGGGGGGTGTGTACAGGGGGCTGTCTGCAGGAGCGGACAGGAGCCAGAGCAGCTGACTGGACCCCCGCGGGCCATTAGTGCATTATCGTTAGCAAACTAATGCCCGTCAACACTGCTGTGGTGGAAAAGAGAGTAGTTTCCCCACAAAACCAACCTGATCTACGGGCCTTTCAGACTCTCATAAATGGTAGAAAGCTTCCATCGTTTGTAGTGACTCAAAAAGGACTGACCAGAGCAGCCGGATTCACAACCAGACACAACCTGGTGGTCACCTGAGCTGCCGGGGGTCCGGAGCTGAGGCTGACCGGCGTGGTAAATGTGCTAATGACCTCAGGTCCTCACTGAAAACGTCCTGGACAGTCGGGCTGAGGCAGGAAATATTGACCGTGTGGCCCGTTTTCAGGTGCAACCGGCGGGAAAGGCTGCCTTCGACCGAACGTGGCTAAATTGGCTTTTATTATTGTCTTTTCTTAGCCTTTACAGGGCCGACTGACTACGGACAGCGAGGCGGTGAACATCTGGCCCTGTGGGCGGGGCGGAGACGCCCCCTGTGGCTGCCAGCGGGATGAGCTGTCCACTGATCAAAGGCAGAGCGCGTCCAGATACACAGGCCAAGCTTTTACAGTTCAGAAAGAGCCCGTTTGGGGGTTCGGGTGGATCCTGAACTGCCAGAGCTCCGAGTAAAACAGCGAGGTGGGAAAGCTGTTATTACCAGGCGTGCTGGAGAGTGTAAGGGATTATTTTAAAGTCTGCCGGCTGGGAGGGAGCTGGAGATCACACAGGAAAACCTGAAGCGTGACTTCCGGCTAGATGCCACCCCCCAGGGGCATTAAGAAGACCTAACTACTGCCCCGCCATCTTTTTCTTTCTGTTCCTCCATCCCTCCACCTCAGGTTTCTCCTCGTTTCTCCACCTTCTGACTACGGACTGTCACCAGCTTCTGCGGGTCCTGTTTCTGGTAGAAAACCCTCCTATAAACGGTGTGCCAGTGCACTGCCAAACAGAGTTAGCTCAACATGCTAAACATGTTCAGATCAAACCCGATCAAGCTGTTTCACTTCCACATTTGCACCCGGAACGAGTCAGACTTTCACTTTGAGCTGTGCGGCTCTTTGATGGGAATCCACCAGCGAAACTGAAGGCTGAAAGCTTTAAAGAGCTCCAGGGTTTTTCCCGCCCGTGCTCCGGCTCACCTCCGTTCCAGGAGCCGTTGTGGGGTAATACTGCTATGGCGGCATCGTGGCTGTCCGGCAGCGCGCTCCCGTCGGCGTCCGGGGCCTCCGGCTCCAGCAGGCTGTCCTCCTCCACGATGTGTAGCTTGTCCTCGTCGTCCGAGTCCGAACTGGCCTCCAAGCCATTATTGAAGTTTGTCACTGGAGGGAAAGAAGAGGAGAGAAAAAGACATTAGGCAAGAATCGAGCGGACTAAAGGCTGAGCCACGCCTAGGCCCGGCCATCCATATGTGGGCCTGCCCGGAGCAACCAGGACCCGCTTAGCCCCCCAGTCTGACCACACACTGAGGGAAGGACCTGGGGATATCTGTTTGTTTTTGCAGCCAGCTGACGCCGATCAGTAAAGCTGCCCTGGATCTATCAGAAAAAACCGAGTTAAGGAGCAGAAACCATCACTGCCTCTGCACTTTTTCTTCCAAAAAATCAAAAATCCGCTTTTTTTCCGACGCAACGTCACTCACGTTCTCACAGGAAATCGGTAAATATGTGGAAACGTTTCAGATTCGGCTGGATTTTGGACTCGTTTTTACACAGAGGCAGTGCGGAAAAATGGGGGCGAATGCGACTCTTTTGTTGACCATGATTGCTGATTGGCAGAACTAAATAAAAAGGAACTCTAACGTGTCCATCAGCGTCCTGACCGTCCGTCTGTGGACAGGGAATGGACTCAGCTCCCAGCTGCTAGCAGCCTCAGTGGAAACCGGTGAGTTTCCACCCGGGCTGAAGCTGCCGGAGGACCTGTGCTTCTCGGGGACGGAGGTGCTGATGAGCAGCGGGCGATAATTGCTGTTTCAGTGTCAGCAGGTGTGTGTGCGTGTGAGTGGGTGTGTGTGTGTGGGTGTGTGTGTGTGTGTGTGTGTGCGTGCGCTCTCTGCTGGGAGCCGCGGTACACACGCCTGATGAGGCTGTTTGTTTGTTTGTGTTCGCAGGTGACAGGTGCACAACCTGAACCACGCGGCGAGC